GGGGCGGCGGTGTCGGGAAATCAGCCCTGACTATCCAGTTTATTCAGGTCAGTAGCGTCCAAGCCCCGCTTGAATCTAGCCAGTGCTTTGATTTCCCTGCTTATCCTAAAAGACGACGAAAGAAGGGGGAGGCCAGACACGGGATCCCCGTAAGCGGATACCGGGCTCTGTTTTCTCCTCCGCTACTTTGCCGAGGCCTGCAACAATTTACCGAGGGCTTGTTAGAATATGTTAGAGAGAGACAGGAAAGCTTATTTTCTGCATTTAACGAGGAAGGACGGCTGTCACTTTAACACGATTTCCGACGGATCCACTTCCACTTTGCAGTTTACAGATGCCAGTCAAAGAGAAAGGAAAGTGGGTCTGCTCCTGAGTTGGACTGTTTTATTAACTTGGCCTGGAAAGTAGAGACAGTAGTGCTAAGATTTAGTCTATAATGACATGCCATCCGGAAAAGAAAAGCTATAGAAGAGAGAGAGAAGAATACAGAGGCAAAGTTGCATAAAAATGACATTAGTCCCTGTAAGTTTAGATTTGGAATAAGGATCCTCAGAGAAATAAAACCATTCAATTCAACCATCAGATTTCACAAATCCCATTAGGGATATGTGAAGCAGACAGAGAAAATCAGTCAGGCTTGAGTGACTACAGAATAAACAGCAGCCTTACAAAATGTCCATTGAAAGATTAACTTTTTTGCTCCAACTTCCACCGAGGCGAGCTGCTGGTTAACCTAATCCAAAGCACCTCGGTTAAACGGAGACAGACCATAATGTTCTCAAATATTTAGCCTAATAGAAAGTTTACTTCCACTCCCTAAAAGACAATCCCTGGGTTTTATATATCCACTTGAAAACTCGTGTGTCACATATAAAAGGCATGTAAACAGTTTACCTCCCTCTATCCCTGGTTGCATTCCAGCACACTGCCAGCACACACACACACACACACACACACACACAGACGCACACGCACGCACACACGCACGCAGGCTGACTTGCTTTGACCTTCCAGGCTTTCATAGTCTCTCTCTCTCTCTCTCTCTCTCTCTCTCTCTCTCACACACACACACACACACATATGCACACTCTGTATGAAAGAGATGACAAACTTTGCCCTTTGCCTTGTGTGTTTCCCCCTCGTGTCAGTGTGTGTTACTGATGCTGGCTCTGGCTTTCAGGAGACCAGACTGCAGGCAGCTGCATGTCTCCACACTTATCAGGCATCAGTGGGCTGGCACACGTTTCAGAGTAGGGGTGTGTGTGTGTGTGTGTGTGTGTGTGCACGCTGGGAGAGGGGGAGTTGTGTCTAATGAGGGTTCAAAAAGCTCATTAACTGCATACCAAGTAAAACAGGATCACATAGATGTGACACAGATATTTGCCACAGCCTACTGACCCTACTGACCTGAAGTGGGGCAGCATTTAAAGCTGATTATGAAACACACAGAAGACATTTCACTCGACTCAATGTCTTAATGGTAACAACACTGTAAGAGTCATATTGTAATTGTGAAGTTTCTCATTTATAGTTAAAATGACAACATGCTGTTGCTGAAAATACCAGAATTATGACAAAAAAAAAGCCCAGGTCAATGTTTGTCAATACAACAAACATCTTAAGGTAACACTTGATAGATCTTGCAGTAATTGTTGCATTACATGGATTGCATATAGATGCCAACAGAGATTTAGAAATAAAGCTGTAGCTTCCACTAAGCAGTCTGTAAAAGTCTCCTGCCAGAATAGTCATTTGAGCAACAATTTTAAAAGCTCATTCTTGAATTACCTAAAGTGTATTATTTCTGCTGAGTGAATGACTTTAACACTACTATCAAGCTGTCTGCATCATGCTTTTGCCATAACTTTAATTTGGGAAGTAAACAGTAGTAAACAGGAGTATCAGTGTTTGTTTGTATTTATTGAACATCCACAGTTGATTTCCTCTTATGTGTTTTTCTCACTGCCGACTGGTGCATCTGGTGCCATGAAAGTGTGAGAGATTTAGATGTTGACTGCAGAAGGACAACCTGCCTCCTCTGTGGGACCACGGGGGTGCGGTGGGTTGAGTAGTCGTCTCCCAACCAGAAAGTTGAAGGTTCGAATCTCAGTGCCTGCAGTCCATGTGTCGAAGTGTCCTTGGGCAAGACACCGAGAGGCAGAGAGGAAAAAAACCAAGCTAACTTTCTTGTGACGTTGAGGCTTTCCTCAGAACTACTGTGGGAAATGAAAGTTTTTCTGATAAACTGTGTTGAGAGGCCATGAGGTTGGGGGGTGTGGTGGAGGGGTCTGATTGCCACTGGGTTAATGGTCATGGACCATGTGGAATTTGGCCCTTTGGCAAAGGAAATCCCTCTACTGCTGCTCTTAGGTTCTCCTAGTTTTATATGGAAAAACATGACCTGCTTCCAGAATCACTGGAACCATGTTCATGCGTGTGTTACTAGTCTGACTAGTCTCTTGTCTGAATATCAGATTCAGAATTTTTTGTTTTTCAACAAATATTTTGGCCTAGTACTATTTTTTCACCAGGTATAATTGCAGTATTACGCATGGTATTAAATGTAACACAGTTTACAACTTAGATCAGCACTCGTCGAAGCACTCAAAAGTCAAACTGCTCTTCAGAACCCAAAAACCTTTTTTTGACACTGGTTAGCACAAATGTTCTTGTGACACTTTTCCCACAAATACATAAACGTCATTACTAGAAAAAAAAGTGGTTTAATGTTGTGCACTAGGCTGCTGTTGAGACAAACACCATCCTCATTTGATAGCTTGTCATCACATTTTCTCAGTAGTTACTATCCTAAGTAGGCCAGTGGCTGTGGGCCACCACAACACATGAACCATTTTAAGAAAGATGCTTCAACAAGGAAATATGTGACCAAGTATACAAGCAATTACCATGAAATATTGACGCTCCATACCCAGTGGTAAACTTGAGGGTGCTGAACAGTTTAAGACAAAAAAAAAAAAAAAAGTCAGGCTACTGTGCTGAAGCAGGGGTTTTTGGGAATCATGATGTCACTAGCGATTACAGAGTGGCAGGTCCCTGGGATCTGCTGGTCACCCTGATGCCAAGCAGTTGACTCAAGCTGAAATAGCATTGGGATGACATAACATTGAGTCATCTGACAAAAGTTGTGGAACACAGAGTGCTGTTTAATGTGACGTCTGTGAGGGAGGAAGCATCCCAAGTAAGGGAAAACATGAGTCATGCTGGCCATGCGAAGGCTGCACGTGGGGTGCTGTGTGTTTCTGTAGGTTTGTTTTATCCCAGTACTAACTGCATATTAAAAACACACCTGATATACTCCAGGTAACCAAAGAAGCTGCTGGATTGATACGACTCTATAATGAAATGTTGTCTGATCTGCTCGCCGGCTGAAAAGCATGGTGCTGCTTGCTCACATCTGCTAATATTAGCCTGGTGTCTGCCCTCAGCAATGGAGATTAATGCACAAGAGCCAAACATCCAGACAGATTAGATCAGGATTTTTATATACACCTCACCTGGATTTACAGCTAAAGTGCATAAGAATGTTGTCACAAGTTGTAATCTGATAGAATCTATATGGATTATAAAGGCAGCTCTCCTTGAACATGTGGAGGCAAGGTGTGGTAATGATAGTGTCAGAGCTCAGTGTGGTGGGCTCCGTTTCATGTGCATTTCTCAGAACAACCACAGCTTTGTTACCCAAAATATTTGCAGTGACACTTTTGAGCATGTATGATGTAGACGTTTTGTCATATATAACACCCCACACCATAATTTGTCCATTTCTGCATGTAGATTGTTCTGTTACTTTCTGTCTGGCTCAGTGATGTGCAACATGTCAGACCACTGAGTGCAAACATTTCCATTTATATTCTGACCAGCAGCTCTTCATCTCCTTTAAGAGGGTTCGTATCTTTCCTCTGTAATAAAATACTAAAGCATATATGACAGTAAGCTGTTTTTAGTGTAGGGTTTACAGCTGTGACAGGTGTGTGTGTGTGTGTGAGGGCAGGTGATGATTGTTTGTTTAGCTCTGTAGAGAGTCAGCTGTTGATTTCTCACACAGCAAAACCAGAATGAAAGCAAATTCTTTGAAATGATTTTCATAAAAGGAATTCTAAGTATAAAACTGTAGAAACCTACCAGTGCCATGCACACATGTCATACGGACACAAAGTCAATGTTACTGTGTCTTATCTTCTCTTTCCCACTGGCACACTGCTACACTGGCCACAGTCTTTACAAAAAAAAACCTACACAAACCCTGTGTGAGATATGAAGCCAAGCTCTACCTGCGCCAGGTCTGTAAATTAATAGGATTTCTTTTTCTAGTCATCTTATGAAAAGATAATTTAACAACTGTGTATAGAATGAGAAGAGCAGGATTTATGTTTAAGAGGGCCGGAATGCAGCTTGTTCAGAAGAGTTGTAGCAATTGTCTAATAGTTCCAATGTTACTTCATTTTGCCCTGTTGCTATTATACAGGCATTTGTTCTCCTTTTTATATCAAAACGCTATCTGTGCCCGGGTCATGAGCAGAGGCAGATAATGTTCATTTACCCATTAAAATAGACCGCAAATGCAAGTTTATCCTGTATACCTGTGCTGTTTTGAAAGACCAGTAGTTCTGCTGTGGTAGGAAAACAACAAAAGAAAACCTTTCAGGAATTAAATCACCACCCAGCTTTAACTGGCTGTTTTGTATTCTCTGCTGTAGCTCTCCTTCCCTTAGGTGCATCTTTCTGTGTTTCCAGCATCATCATGTAAATACCTAATTAAATGTCACAGACCGTCAAACTCTAACCGGGTGTGGCACATCGTAAATATATTTCTAAGTATGGTTTCTTATGGCCAGACAGGCCATAAGACCTGGTTCTGGTTCCGCTGGAGGTTCCTTCCTTTAAATGGAGCTTTTCCTCCACACTATACCAAGTGTTTGCTCCAGGGGATTTGTTGAAGTTTTCTCTATAGTTCTGTAAGCTCTAGACCATATGTAACCATCTTCCGGGTTGCAAGCGAGAGCAGACGTCTTTACTGCTCCTCTTG